TATATATTATATATTATATATTATATATTATATATTATATATTATATATTATATATTATTATATTTAATTATATATAATTACTATATATTACATATTACTACTGATATTGTTTGCATGCATGAACGAGTTTTGTTTGTTGAGGTGTATGTGCAGCTGAAAGAATTATTATATATAATTAGATAAGCAGGGGGCCTAAACAAACAACAAAAGACATCGCAGCAAACGCTGAAGTGTACGAAGACCTCAGCTGTTTGTCTGCAGCTACATCAAAACACTTGCGGGCCCCTGCAACACACAAACATCCTGCTGCTGCTGCTGCTGCTGCTGCTGCTGGTGCTGCTGGTGCTGCCTTATGCACGCACGAAGCTGCTACTGTTGTTGCTGCTGCTGCTGTTAATGCAGCAGCAGCAACAGCAGCAGCAGCAACCCTGGGGTGAGGCGCAGCCTCCAGCGCTGCAGCAGGGGTCAGGCTACTGCTGCTGCTGCTTAGCCTTTTGCTTCTGCTTCTGCTGCTGCTGCTTCTGTTTCTTTCCTGCTGCAGTTTGCATGCCCTCTGGCCCCACAGTAGCAATTTGAACGTCCGATAGAAAACACAAAACTAACTCAGAGACCTGCATACACACAAACGCATGCATGCATGCAACAGCTACACGCTGCTGCTGCTGCTGCCGCTGCTGGGCCTGCTCTCGCTGCTGCTGCTGGTGTTATGCTAATGTTATGTTGCGCTGGTGCTGCTGATGCTTCTGTTGCTGCTGCTGATACTGGTACTGCTCCTTCTGCTGTTATGCTGCTTCTGCTGCTGTTGCGCTGCTGCTGCTTGTGCTGCTGCTGTTTGTGCTGCTGCTGCTGCTGCTGGTGATACGACTTTTTGTCTCACCTGTAGATGTTTTAGAATCCTCTTTTGTGTTTCTGTTGCTGCGCTGCTGCGCAGCAAAGATAAAGAAAGTGCAGCAGCACGCCCTGCCTTCAGCTGCCCTGGGGTCAGCTTCAGCTTGAATGGACAGTCCTAAGCAAATAAAAAAAAATAAATAAAATAATAAATAAATAAATAAATAAATTAAATAAATTAAATAAATAATATGCAGACAGAAAACAAAACAAAGGATCTACGTCGTACATAAGCATGCAAGCGCAGCAGCAGCAGCAGCAGCAATATCAGCAGCAGCAGCAGCAATATCAGCAGCAGCAGCAGCAATATCAGCAGCAGCAAGAACACCAGAAGCAAAACCAATCCCAGCAGCAGCAGCAGCGGTAGCAGCATTAACAGCAGCAGCAGCAGCATTAACAGCAGCAGCAGCAGCAGCAGCATACTTTAAGTGCTGAGTAGGGCGCAACGACAGGAATAGCAGCAGCGAGGCAATCCTCTTCATATGGATTTGCTGTCAGCAGATGCAGCTGCCCGAGCTTCTCCTATAAACAAATAAATAAATAAATAAATAAATATAAATTAACTGTCTCCGTCTGTTTATTTATCTATTTATTTATTTATTTTAGTCTCTCTCTCTCTCTCTTTATTGTGTTTACTTACAGCAAGATCTGCTGCTACTTGCTCCTCGTCCGGCTGCTGCTGCTGCTGCTGCTGCTGCTGCAGCCAGTACTCATCCTTCACTATGCCTCTTCCATAAAGCTCGTTGCTTCTCTCTGCTGCTGCTGCTGCTGCAGCTGCTGCTGCTGCTGCTGCTTCTTCTTCACTGCGCTTAGCGTCTCTCCCCTGCCGCACCAAACAAACAAAACCCAAAACAATAAACACTCGCATGCATGCATGCATGTATGCATGCATGCATGCATGCATGCAGAGGTGCCTATACACCCCGTCCTGACAGCGGGTAAACCTGCAGCAGCAGCAGCAGCAGCTGCTGCTGCTGCTGCTGCTGGTTGCAGTGTCTCACTTTGCTGGCTAGGAGTCTCAGCCTCTCTTCTCGTTCTTCATCATCTTGATCAGCGTATTTCTTCTGAGCTCTCTTTTCTTTTGAACGCTTCCCTCGAGGCAGCTGCTGCTGCTTCGGCCTCTGCTGCTGCTGCTGCTGCTGCTGCTGCTGCTGCGGGCTGGAGGTGTCTGAGCTGCCTTCTGGTGCTCCTGGTGCTGCTGTTGGGCTTTTCTTCAGCCGTCGGCGTGCTGCAGCAGATAGACGTGCCTTTGCCTGCTGCTGCTGCTGCTGCTGCTGTTGCTGCTGCTGCTGCAGCAGCAGGTCCAACGCATTCGTCCCTCCGGGCGAAAAAGCGCTCTCCTCTTGCTGCTGTTGCTGCTGCTGCTGCTGCTGCTGCTGCTTCCCTGTCTCTTTTTCGTCATATTCCTCTTCGTCTGTTTCTGTGTCTGTCTCTTCGTCTGCTGCAACCTCAGAAGCTGTCGCTGCTGCTGCTGCTGCGGCTGCTGCTGCTGCTGTAGCCTCTGGGCCCCTCCGGGTGTCTGCTGATGTCGTCCCCACGTCTTCTTCATCTGCACCAAACCCACTCCAAACCCTAAACCCTTAAAACCCTAAACCCTAAACCCTAAACCTGAAGAAGACGCGCCTCCCACTTGGGGCAATGGCGGAGGCTGTTGGCGCAGCGCAAGGGTTTATAAGGGTTTAGAAGGGTTTAGAAGGGTTTATAAGGGTTTATAAGGGTTTATGAGAATTAACAGAGCTTTGCTAGGGTTCATTAGAATTAAAAAAGGGTCTACAGGGGTTTACGAGGGTTAATGTGAATTAATAAGCGTTTATTTGAGAGTTAGGGTTTACAAGGGTTTACTAGGGTTTACAAGGGTTTATTAGGGTTTACAAGGGTTTAGCAGGGTTATAAGGGTTTATTAGGGTTTACAAGGGTTGATTAGGGTTAATTAGGGTTTACAAGGGTATACTAGGGTGTGCAAAGATTAATTAGGGTTTGATAGGGTTGAGAAGGGTTGATAAGGGTTTCCAAGAGTGAATTAGGGTTTGCAAGAGTTCATTAGGGTTTAGGGTTTAGGGTTTAGGGTTTATACCGTCTACGAGATCGAGGTGCAGCGACAACAACTGTTTTGCTGAAGGTGCTTCGCAAACAAAGAAACCCTTTGGAGGAGGGCCGTGGTCTGCGCTGCGGTGTCTGTTCAGCTGTTTCTCCAGCCCCACACTTATATGCGACACCTGCATGCAAACCCTAAACCCTAAACCCTAAACCCTAAACCCTAAACCCTTGATTATAGAGTGGGAATGAACTCTTTCCTTTACCGTCACTCAACCGAAGATGCAGTATAATATATTACTATTTTCAAGACTAAGAGGGTTTAGGGTTTAGGAGGGCTTAGAAGGGTTTATTAGGGTTTAGGGTTTAGGGTTTACAACAACGTGGACGTCGGGCTCCTCCTGCTGCAACCCTAAAACAGACCCCTGACCCTCTGTCCCCAACTCTGATGAAGCGTGTGAAAGCAGCTCCCGCGGAGTAGGAAGCGTCTCCTCCGTAAACCCTAAACCACAAACCCTAAACCCTAAACCCTAAGCCCTAAACCCTAAACCCTAAGCGAACGACACTCTCCAACCCCAACAACAAGCGCCTTAGCATAACGTTTAACCCAGCAGCAGCAGCAGCAGCAGGAAGCAGCAGCAGCAGCAGCAGCAGGAGAGGGCTCGGAATGGGGTATCCGACGCCGACCGACGGGTTGGGTTTACAGAGACAGAGATAATATGCCTTCGCATTTGCTGCTGTCTCCTTCTGATGCTGCAGCAGCAGCAGAGAGCAGCAGCATCCAGCAGCAGCAAACAGACGCTGCTGCTACCATACGCAAACCAACGGTCCTTCTAGAGGCGGAGATGCACAGCTTACATGGTTTGTTCTCTCCTGCTGATGCTGCTCTTGCTGCTCTTGCTGCTGCTGCTGCTGCTGCTCTTGCTGCTCCTGTTGCTCTTGCTGCTGCTGCCGCCCTTGCTGCTGCTGCTACTGCTGCTGCCCTGGCTGCTGGTGCTGCTGCTGCTGCTCTTGCTGCTGCTGCTGCTGCTCTTGCTGCTGCTGCTGCTGCTGCTCTTGCTGCTGCTCTTGCTCTTGCTGCTGCTCTTGCTCTTGCTGCTGCTCTTGCTCTTGCTGCTGCT